TGCTTTACAACTTCCAGGGCACTACTGGATTTCCATGGATTGATGCAGTAATGCGACAGTTGCGCACAGAGGGTTGGATCCCTTATATGGCACGTCAGGCTGTTGGGTGTTTCTTGACCAGAGGATGCCTTTGGATCAACTGGGAAGAGGGATTTAAGGTAAGAAATACCCAAATGGGTATTTTACAGTGAGTTTCTGGTTCGGAGTAAAGAGGTTAAAAGATTGATTTCCTTTCTTAAGGTTTTCGAGGAGCTTCAATTGGATGCTGAGTGGAGTCTGAATGTGGGAAATTGGCTGTGGCTGTCTGGAAGTACTTTTGTGAAAGAGCACGTACCTTGGTTTTGTCCTGTGGAAGTTGGGAAGAAGGTTGATCCCAATGGGGAATATGTGAGGTGAAAATAAGTTTTAAAACCATTCTCCGTATGGATTATTTTAAGGTTTCCTCTAAACCTTTATTTTCATTTTGGGAAATTTTGTTTATTTGCGTGCTTCAGTTTTACTTTACAATTTTTTTCTTTTGTAGACGTTATGTCTCAGAACTGAAAAGGTTACCTCTGCAATATCTGTTCGAGCCTTGGAAAGCGCCTTTAGCAGTCCAAAAGGCGGCGCGGTGCGTGGTTGGTGACGATTATCCGGAACCATTAGCTAATCACATTGAACAGCGAAAGATCTGTGTGCGGCGCTTGAAAGATATGTGCAACACCTTGAACATATCAGGTAGGTAATATTGTACAATTGACTATGATGATGAGAGATCTAACCACGTTTACCTTTTAATGTTTTTAAACATCAAAAAGGTACACTTGGTTGGACCCCACATCATCATTGTTAGATCTTGTAATAAAAGAGTATTGCCGTTCGAATTATTCGGTGAAGTATGATTAGCATACTTCGAATATATAATAATATAATTCGAATAGTTCGAACAGCAATGGTAGTGTAAAGTACGAGGAGTACATGCGACCCCGGCTTCAAAGTTGGTTTGTCATTTGTTATTAGTGTTCTAAAAGTTAAGTTTAACTCTGAATTACCAGGTGGTTTTTTTTAAGACGATGTTAGTTCTTAAGCGGGTTTGTTACGTTTCTTTTCAGGGCACATCAGTCTTCACTGGTTTAGGAAGGATCTTCGACTTCACGATAATCCCACTTTAAGAGATTGCCTTGTAGACAGTGCAGTGTTCTATGGAGTGTATATTCTTGATAGTTGTGCTGAAGCAAGGTTGAGTCCAAACCGTTGGCGTTTTTTGCTGGAATCACTAAAGGACCTGGATGCCAGTCTGGCGGAGTACGGCTCGCGTCTCTTCGTATTGGAGGGTAGACCGTTAGATGTCTTACCATCTCTTTTTGAACAGTGGGGCATCACTCGGCTCTCTTTTGAGGTTGATTGTGAGCCTGATTGTAAGACCAGGGATATGGTTGTGACTACTGTTGCCAAGAAAGCTGGAATCCAAGTTATCAGTCACGTGTCACACACCCTTTATGACACTAAAGCGCTTCTAAAATCACCTGAAGGAAGAGCACCCCAACTTTTCGACGAATTTCAAAAACTTGTTGTGCAACTTGGGCGACCCCAAAAACCAGTGCCAAGGGTTGACAGAAAGCTATTTGGCTCGTGTGTTACTCCCGTAGGAAGAGATCATGATACGCGGTACGGAGTCCCTGCACCAGACATCCAAAAGCTGCATTCTAGTAGCTCGTGGTTTTATCAAGGTGGCGAGAGAGAGGCGTTGTCAAGGATGGAGGCAGCTTTATGCGAGGTTGGAATTCTTTCAGACATTTTGCTTGAATTATTCCTCTAAGCCAGTTGTTTTCCAATTAGAAAGACTTTTCCAAATAGCAGTCTCTTTTTGGTCAATGGCTCTGGCTTCATGAAATGTTACGTGTTGTTTAGAAAACCACTTATTTAAACCAGGTGGTGGCCTTTGTTGCTTTCGCTTTGTGATGTTGTGCCGTTCAAATGAAGGAAACTTGTACCAATAGCATTATACTGTATGTAAAATTATGTTGTCTTTACGCCCATCTGTTGGTAATGTTCCACTTTGCTCTACTGTAAGTCTTATGCTCGGGTAAGCTTTCAAACTCATTGCCCATCTGCTTATAGATGGCAAGGGGAGACAATTCCTTGGACTTCTCGCTGGTAAACTCTTAGTATATCTTGATTTGTTAAGCTCTTTGTATTTCCCATTGTGACGTAGTCAATATAATTCCTGCAGATGGTAAAGAACGACTTTTGCGAGCCGTTGTTAACAGCCCGTTCACTGATGCCGTCACAATACCACCTGAGCCCCCACCTGAGGCTGGGTTGTCTGTCTCCCAGGCTCCTTTATCAAAGAATGACTGAGGAATATATCAAGGTACAGTTCAGCCTGTTCATGTATTAAGAGAAGGGAAACAAAGGGGTACAGAGGAGGGCTCTCACTCCAGGCTTTTAGATATGCAAACTCCACGAAAGTTACTAACTCTTGTGAACTGACTCTGTTTTTCAAGAGGTTTGCTTAAAGTCTAACCTCGATTTGTAGTTTTGAATGGAATTACTCTGTTGGTAGACAGCGTGAGGTACAACGACTTCTAAGAACAAGCCAATTATTATTTCTTGAGCGAGCTTTACAGTGCAGGCAACTGTTACTCTTTCCTGTAAATAACCATTGAGGAGGAGATATATCCCAGCTATGGACTTGATTGACTTCGCTATCTTGTCAATTTCCCCTACGTGTAGACAAAGCTAAATTCATTAGCGGTCAGTTTTTTGTTAAACACTGTCGAAACAGACTCAAGTCTCTCTTTACCTACTTCTATCGTATGGATGATGTTGTTTTAATTCATTGGCGTTTTTTTCAGTGTAAGGCTATGAACCCATCTTTCGATCTTTTCAAAAAACTGTTGTGGCGCGAGTTCTTCTTTGTTGTTGGAAGCCAAGTTTCCGACTTACACGAGATGATCAGCAACCCGGTTAGTCTACAGATTCCTTGGGAAGAAGATCCAGAGCATCTTGAAAAATGGAAACAGGTCAGATCTCAAAAGAAAATATTCCTGACCATAAACTAATCATTATTATAAGTCCATCATCAATGTTTTAAAATCGCTTGATGGATTGCAAAATTCGTCGGAAGGATATACCACTTGTTCTAAACTTCTAGGGTGTCTTCACTCAAACTGCTTTGCACGCTACGCCTATGCTCTTAAATAAGTATCATACTCTATCGTAACGTCCTTTTATACTCGTGTAAACTTAAGGTTAGTCTGTAATGCTTTGTGTGTAACGCCCGAATATTTTTTTTATGATAGGGTATGACTGGTTTTCCTTGGATTGATGCCATCATGAGACAGCTCCGCTTAGAAGGTTGGATTCACGACATCGCACGGCGTGCCGTGGGCTCATTTTTGACTCGCGGTTGTCTGTGGATCAACTGGCGAGAAGGGTTTAAGGTCGGAATTGGTTTGTTTTGTAGCACTTTTATACATGAAGGAATATGCTAGTTTTTGAGCCGGTCGTTGAACTTTGTGTCATCGGTCTATTTAGTGTTTATTCACGAAGATGCTCAAATCAACCATTTCATAATTTGTTTCATTAGGTCTTTGAAGAACTTCAACTTGACTCGGAAAGGAGCCTCAATGCTGGTAACTGGTTGTGGCTGTCTGGAAGTACTTTTGTGAAAGAGCACGTGCCTTGGTTCTGTCCTGTGGAAGTTGGAAAGAAAGTTGATCCCAGTGGTGAATATGTGAGGTAAGAGATTATCATTATACTTTGGGTACCTTATTAATTCTACTGCTGTCATAGACATTAAACGTAAACAATTTTCATTAAATATTTGGTTTATTTATCCAAATTTTATTTTCAGGAAATATTTACCAGAGGTGAGGAATCTTCCCACGGAGTTTATCTTTGAACCTTGGCTGGCTCCTTGTGAGCTTCAAGAGTCTTGCGGCTGTGTGATTGGTCGAGACTATCCTGCTCCTATCGTTAATCACTTGGAGCAACGCGTTGTTTGTGTCCAGAGGCTTCTTGACCTTGCTTTGACGTTAACTGCAACATGAACTTTTAACTAAGTATGCCACTTTTTACTAGTCAGGTTATCATGGGATGTGTGTTCTGATTTCATGGCGATTACCTCATATCTTACTGTGTGTGGTGACTGCAAACCTGTAGTAATGAACCACTTATTTTCAAAATTGCCACCGTGTGAGTTTTGTCTGTGTGTGTGTTTCTGAAGAACAATAAAAAGAAACAGTTTGTATAAGTAAACCCACAGTTATATAAGTATAAGTTAACCCTAAGCAATTTGGGATAAATCAGCACTCGTAAACTTTTCAAAGACAACAAATTACACTGCCCGTAGGGCGTTTACTATTATGCAGCAAACTTGAAGGAGATTTTGGACTGTAGATAAATTTGGTTGGTAGATACTTGTTTTACGTTAAATAGGTTGAAACCATGAGTAACATGTATTCTGGTCGTCTGATCTGAGTACAGCTATCGGTGACAGAGGCTGATGTTGTAACCAACTGAGCGGAAGTCATTATCAGAGCCAAGAAGACAGCTTTAACGAGACGATCATACTTCACCTATACTATCTCTGTTATTTGTAATGGTAAATTCAGCCCGCAGTGAAATCTAAGAATGGTGAAAGCGTGCTGATAAAATCAAGGACACAAGAAAACAAAGTTAATGTATTCAGTGAATACCGAGGAGATAGTTAAGTGTTGCTGTAAATAGTTTCCTTAAAGAGGTAGTTCAAATGATTAAAGTAGTTAACTGCTTCGCGCAAAAGTGAAGTGTTACGTTTTCTCCAACCATACATAGCAATAACTTCCCTTTATATATATATGGAGGCATACCGAGTTGCCTCTAACAAAAAGCGCAGATGAGATTTTATTCATGGGAGATTAAGATCTCAGAAGTCAGCAATCACTACAATGTCCGGGCTGTATAGTGAGATCTTCACTCTTTGGTGAGCGTAGAGTTAGGAATACGAAAAGCACTCTACAAGATGTAGAGATGTATCTTTATTTTAAATATTTTAACAAGAACCACATAACACCTCTTGACAAAATACTAAACATAACTTTATCTGAGATAAATTCTCAGTGAGGTGGCTTTACCTCATTACAAGGCTAAAAGTTATAATGAAAGTTGCAAACCGAAAAAAAAATGACAGAAAGTTCCATTGTAGTATAGACATGCTCTACTGTAGTACATGAACGAACTCACAGTACCAGCGTATTTTCCTATGAAAACTGAACAGTTTAAAGTAGATTTGTTTCATTCACGTGAAAGTCATTAAGAGGTCATTAACGTCAGCATTATTTACCGGTTGTATCAATGAAATTTACCAATCATTTTCATAATGCGGCGGTATATGAATCGTTTCGCAGTTTTACCAAACTCTGCATCGGTTTTCGGGATTTAAATCACTTCCCTTTGGACATTTGTACGTCTTCGCGAATTCCTCCATATTTGACAAAACACCATTTACCCTGAAAAGAAAACTAACTGGTTTTAAAGGCGCACGAAAGAGACTGGGCGACTCCCCTCCGAAGTCATTCAAGTTTTAGACTTCCCACGGAGAGTTCAGTGCTCTCAGAATGCTGGCTACTCGGTCAGTGGGCTCGTCAGAAACACTCAAAACTATTTGCTGGTGATTGGCTTACCTGTATATGGGTAAGGCATGCGGATCAGCTTTAGCTCTTCTGAAGATCTGCGTAGGACTGAAAGAGCTACACCACATCTAAGAGCAATGCAAATTGAGTCGGAGGACAAACAACAGTGTTAGTTAAGAAAATTAATGTAAATTGCTGTGGATTTGTACCAGGATTTTTTTCAGCCCGAGAAAAGCCGTAACAATGCACTTGATATAGTACGATATTTTTCTACGTGTGTTTTATACCGCCCATTAGCTGCAGACATGTCACTCGCCTTTCGCGAGATGAATGAACGGCAAAGCCTTCACCATTCTCAATCCATGGCTGTTTGTCAGAATTTTCTCGGATTATGGCTTTTAAAACACGGGAAATCCGTATTGCTTACAGTGCCGTTCAAACTTTCCATGAAGGGGAAGAAAACCAAAATACGAAAAAATGATAGCATTTCTCGCGGCTGAGAACGAAAATCGACAACTGGACGATTTGCGACAGACCGATTTGGCTGTGTACCTGAAAGATTTCTTCTTTCGGTAAGGAAAAAGCCAGCAACTGAGAATTTTATGGAAAATTACGCCCATGGTTGTTTTTGTAGTGATTCAACGCATTTTTTCATCTTGAGCCTTGGCGCCAACGCACTTCAAGATTTTCATTCGGGGATTGTCGATCCTTTTATTTTCATTCGTTAAAGTCGACTTTTCTTGTCATTGAAGGGCTAATGTGTTTATATAATAAACAAAATAATACATGGTTGCCTGTAGATAGGGAATTTCTCTTCATTCGTTCGCTGTGCTCACTCGCGTGTAATCGAGTTGAACGCTCGAAGAGAAATTCCAAATCTACGTGCGCCCATGTATAATTCTCTTCATTTTATCAATCCGATTGTGCTCAGGAAATTGTGGTGCGCAAGATTAACCAACTAGAAACAAACAAACAGTGAGACTCGATCCATTGAAACCTGTTTCTAAGATTTTATGGGCAAAAAAAAAGTGATTGAGTCAAGGTAGGCCCCCTATAAAATCTCTGGATTTTATTCTGTCGGGCGATTCTAGTTTATATAAACTTTTCTGATTCGCAATATATTACCTAGTTTACTACTTACTCGGTTTTTTGCAGGATGTTCAAGTAATTAAACTAAGTCGCTTTACCTGGGCGTAGCTAAGGAAAAACATCTGTTCACTGGATTTGTTCAGTCCGGGTACGAGTTCCTCCCTGCCATGTTTTCTCAGCCAATTTTCATAAGCCTGTGGAGGAATCTCGCACTTATGCCTTCTTTAAAGAAATCCAAAGAAACAAAACCGTATAGCAAGCTTGGACCGAACTTAAGCCATTAAACCGGGCTTCAGGGAAGTACTTCTGACATGTGAGATAACCATTTACAGCAGGGGTGGGGTGGGAGCTTAACTACACGGATCATTTCAATCATAGCTTACATATCACATTGCTACGTTGTAATTCGTTTTTCGTTTAATAACTTTTTTCTTACCCTGAAAGCAATCTTGAGAGCTCCATTATCGGCTATGTTTTCAGGTAATGTCAGTCGACCATTCACCTGATGAGTGTGAAACAGATGAGGTGCACGCCAATACTTAACATTTCAGCCGGCTGTTAGCAGTTTTAAAACGGCAAATTTGTTCAAGATGTTATTTAATACTGCTTTCAGTCATTTTTGAGGAAATGCTTTTTTAAATGAATGATGTCAGTTTAACCGCCATTTTACTGGTAGCATATAGGTTCGAACTGGGACAAGGAACAGAGGAGAATAAATATCTTAGTTGGCGTCGAGCTTACAAACTCGTTTTACAGCCATACTTTCTTTATTGTCAGTTTATGAGGTTAATAAACAACTGCTACATGATACTTACAAAAATCTTCCTGCCACCCACATTGAGTGGGTATTTATTGTATTGGTCAACAAAACACTGGGATTTGTTTTGGAATCCAGTGAGGGTAAAGTTAGTCCACCATGTGTTACTGATCTCACCGTACTTGTTGAACTTTCGACCTAACAAGTGAAATAGGACGATGAGATCTCCAAATTCTACAATATTATATATTGAGAGAAGGAAATTAAACGTAAGATTGAAAGCAACAGCCAAACTTTATGATCAATGTAGAAGAGAAACAACAAAAGGACCTGTAGTGTGCTTTGTTTTCACTCTCAAAAGCAATCAGACATTTCACATGCATCAACAGGACTGGAATAAACGATGAATGCTCTGAATTTGATGAGCAAACCAGAGTAAACAGCCGAGTGCGATGGGGTGTTGGAAAAGGAAACATCTTACCTATATTGTCGAAACCATGAGTAAGTTCATGAGCAAGGATTATTCCGATGCCACCAAAATTAACCGCCCTGTGTATGTATTGATAAACCGTCATTAACTATTCTAGCCTACTATTTTAGAGCAACATACAATCATTTTACACTTGTCGTTATTAGCTAGCGGAGTATTAACGTAATGCCGAGGTCATAGTTATCTTGACTTCACGATATCCTTACATACCGTGGTGCAAAGCGGCCGCTATAGTATGGCGGCTGAAGGATTCCTGCCAAAATATCTGAAATTAAGATAAAACCAAAAGTGGTTTAAACTTGATGTTTTTCTTGCAACTGAGCCAACGTTTACAAACTGAGCTTAGGATAAGCGACATACTTATTTCATTTTTCTCTCTTTGGTAGTAAGCATTAACAGACTGTGGCCCACTGTACCATCTGCCATAAAATCAGAGGAAAGGTCGTTAAAACGCATACGTGGATTAGTAGTTTCATGGACGTCAACTGCTTATACTCAAGGGAATAACCGCGTTATCGATAGAGCTAAAACGCAGGTTATGCTTTTCTTTGAGGAAACTGGGCATGAGTATATAAATCCTTGAAAGCTGTACGTATGGAAATTTAATTCAAGTGTCAACTTGTTGTTGCGCAGTTTACACTAATCAAGGACACTAGATATACACTCAACTATAAATTGCATATTTTCCTAGGATATGAGTGTCCGCAAAGGAAAGCTGTCCGTTTTGTAAAGTTTACCACAAGAAAGTCACCTTTTGGACTCCAGGGATAGTTTTCATTTGACTAGTAACTAAAAAAGGGCATGCGCATTTTATCGAAGTAATCGAGGTTAAATTGAGACCTGGTGCTGGTAAATTGCGATGTGGCCCGTGATAGTTTTGTTTTATCAGAACCAAAACGAGTGAAATCGTAAGAAAGTGCAAACCCCCATGTGTCTATTGCATGTAGAAGCAACTCATTGCACTTACTGTCCCCTGATGGATGGTTTCCTAAGTTTGGAGAGGGATAGGGCCGAGTACCACTTGCTCACGTTCACCTCATTCAGCAAAAATCTCTTATCATCTACTTCAAGCTAAAAAAGGAGCCAAACTATTATGTTCACGTCTTTTATCATCCTAAAACAGCCAATCTGTCGAAGAAAAAATTTTATCTCGCCATAGAAAAAAGCAAACTTTTGTGATTTTAACGTTGACGTATTTGTCTCTTGCCTGTTGATAGTACTCTCCAAGTAAGGTTTTGTTCACGCACATTTCAGGGTAGCCAATTTTTTCAACCATCGCTTTTTCCTGCGTGGAAAAAAATGTTAACAGAATGAATTGCTAGCTAGGAGAAGATCGATTTTTAATTCTCCATAGGAAATTAATGTGCGTCATGTTTTCTTTGTTGATGCCTTGTTGACCTGTCACATAACAGATGACATATCAGGTTTTACCTTCTCGTATACAGCAGGTCTTGTCTTGTCGTCAATCCATGTCAAGTTTCCTACTTCCTCACGAAAAGCTTGTCGAACGTCTTCCATCATCTCCTTAACCTTTGAGGAAAACAATAACTGTCACAATTTGCCATTTATTATATCTAACTATTTTTCGGTGATCAATCTTTTATCTGCTAGTTGTTTTTTTTCATCTCCTTGTAGAAAGACAGCTACCCTTGAATTTCTCCATCCACTAGAAGTAAAGAAATGATCTTTGCTGCTGAGCTGCAATCATAGAAATTAAAGAAAAAAAGCCATATAATATTCAAGGTTTGAAGGGATTTGTACCCATGCCCTCAAGACACTTGTTGGGGGTTACTACCAGCTGAGCTACCAGGCTACATGTTAAAAGCAAAGGAAATTTAGTAAGTTCTTCTTTCCCGGGAAGAATTACAACCGAATGGATCACAAGGATCATTTCTTTTCTCGTAAATAGGTAACAAGTCAAAATATCAATCAATTCCTTTACGGGAACAACGCGCCGAACAAATTTTGCCACGTTACCAACTTATACTTTTGTGCCTAATTTGGTAGCAGTACCCAACTAGTGTCCAGTATCCCTGGGTTCGATAAGGATAGTACCAATTATTGTCTCCCCATGCTGTTCTTAACTTTTTTCCACATATCGTTAAGTCTACAAGAAACATCGCTTTTATTCAAACACGACCTCAATTCAAAATTTCTTTTTCGCACGAACCAATGGGATCATTTTTTTGTCAAACGCCTTCTCAATGTACAGGCTTCCAGTGGCAAATGTGAGCCCGCGGTAAAAGTTTGTGGTAGTGATACAAGTCAGCCATCTTGCTGCTGCGCCTTTTATATGAGAAGTTTTCCTTTTGTATTTAGCCTCAACCTCTCTGAACGGCTTGGATAGGAATGGAACTAATCGCCTCAAAACCGTCCATATAAAGTAGTTGGACAACGTTCTACAGAATAAAACATGATGGAGTAAAATTTAAAGTTGAAATCTCTCGTTAAAAAAGATATACTAAATTATCTGGTTCATAAGTTGAGGGACAAGTTACCCTCTTGCAGACTGAGTAACTTGACGATGTCTTTGTTATACGTTTTGTACAGTCTAGACAATCGATGATAATGAGCCAAATGATCATAAGAACAAGATTATGTCAAAATAATCGCGCTAACTTACTCCCTATCTGCAGTATGTAAAGCTTCTGACATGTTTTGGAGATACTCAAGTGTAGGTACGATGATGTCCTCAGAGTCATCTAGCGTTGTGTTATGCTCGCTGAACAGGTTGTTCAAATGTTGTAGCCATTGAAACTGCAGTGAAATCGTGTTTATGAGTTAGAATAATTTGGAGTGGAACTACGCGGAACCTCTACCTCCCCTCCCTTACCCCATCATCTCCCACGCAACAAAACGGATGGAATTGAGAAAACGAAAATGTACTTAAATGCCAAGGAATGATAACATTTTAATTATAAAGGTTTTCGAAGGAACACATAGTAAGTAATTTCCCTTACAAATGTTTCGGCGACCAAGAATATCAAAGGATTTTAATATTTGAGGCAGGATTGTGCCAACAAGCAAAGAATTCAATGATGCTTTACCTTAGGAGCGTGGTTTTGTAGGTCTTGTATTGTGATTGTGTCATGCTCATGTTCGTAGAGGAACGTCTTGGAGGGTATACTCTGAAAATGAAAAAAAAAAAAAAAGCAGACAGTGGAAAGGACTGTCATGTATTCTTCTACACAAGATTGCGTTATGGCAATAGTTCACCAGAGAATCGAGAGACTTAAGGATCAAAAACATAAACTGTGGAAAAGAACTGAATGAAAAATGATGGCATGTTGCCAATCATAAGGTCACATGTCCACACGGTACCCGAGCAAGTTGTTCTTCAAATTCAAGAATCCCATTCATTTTCTGTCGGGTAGTGGCATTCTGTCCTCCTAACAACATTGCCGCCGTTGTCATATACTCGAGATATGCAGGCCTCCTCTGAAGGGAGAACGAAAACAAGTAACAAAATTGTAATAACTACCACACATTTGGCTCATCCATGGCTTAACCGAGAGAAATATTCACAATTAGAACTCATTATGAAAAATGCGTCACGAATGATCACTGTGAGAAAGTTATATTTTACTGGTAACACACATAGACTCATTGTACATGCTAAAGATCAACTAAACACTGCACAACAATCCAATCGAGTTTTCCAATATAATCCTGGTTGAAGAATTAAACTTTGTTCGAAATCAAAATAATTGATTTTTTGATTAGTCCTTTACATAGTAAAACACTCCTGGCATTTGGCATCGCTCTGACGGTGCCATACGAAGGCAATTGTGGACAAAAAAGTTACACAGACTAAACCTCAGGTAGATATATGAAGTCTCATCAAACCTCAGACCTCCAGGCGCTTAATTCCAAGGAAAATGATCAAAAGCTGCCTTCTGCGAAGGTTCTCCTGGAGCGAGATAATCTAAATAAGTATATCTGTCACACTTACTTTGCTGTTTTTCGACAGATATTCTTCACGAGTCAAACTTAACTCTGGGGGAAGGAGCTGAATGATAGAAAAACAAAGCATTCAATAAAGAGGGTCACCCAAGCCTATTTTTCTGTTTCAGAGTATGATTCGGTCAATAGGTAACATGACGTCGTTGTCCGTCAGTGTTAAAATGACTGCACCTCTTTAGCTGATAACGTCAAAGACAAGCGATTGGTATCGGTAATCACATGATTTCGAGTTCAATTTGGAATAAATAAACACGAGTAAATTTTTTCAAAGAATAACAAAAAGCAATTTGTAGTCTTTGAAAGAAGTTACTCGCGCTTGTTTATTCCAAATTGCACAAGAAAAGTAATGTGATCACGTATTGATAATGTACATGAAAAAATTAGAGATAGCTTATCATAATTATGCAGAAGCAAAGCGCGCGCATAAAGTGCAAAAATAATTTATTCATATTTGTGCGTTCGGTCAAAACAACCGCGCACGATCAAAACAATAGTATACAATAATATTTTCACATCTTTAAGGCGCAAAAAGGTTCAAAGTCCGGCTAAACTGATCAAGGAATTTTTCAGTGTGGTTTGTTCTTCTTTGCACTGAATTAACCCTCCTCTGCATTGAAGTACCCGAAAACTGCATTTATCTTAACCAATCAGAACTGAGTAATTTTTTCATGTATATTATTTTGATAGAAATTTGCATAAAATCAGAACAGCTTAACAGGTTTAAAACACTTATTCTCAACTGAAGTCATTAATAATAAAACAAAACTTTCCATGACAATAATTGTTTGTTTTTCTCTCCTTTTGTTCTTCCACTGAGTCAAAGTGTAATCAGAGAAATTTTTGCGGATAATTAAATTATGAACGCCTGGCAATTTACGTTTGTTTCATCACTAAGATAGAATTTTTGTAATTTTTCAACAAGCAGCATCAACATGGTGTGGTGCTGTCGTGGGCTTACCTTTAAAATATGTTTCGTTGAATTTCTTGGGTTAGTTAACACATCAATAGTAAACAGAGGCGAAGAATGTAAAAAAGTTGTTTGAATCTTTAGTAGAGCAGTCTTCCAGTTCCATACAGTCTCACTCCACGTTCCGTTGTCTAGTGCCCATGACCCAAGGCTCCTTATGAGCTCCAACATTTGCTGTGTGGTCGTTCTCTCAACTTCTTCCTCATTCATACACGAGCGATAATACCTCTTTGCTTTCATTACTGGGTCATCGTGTTCTCCGGTGGCATCTTCCAACATATTTCTAAGTTTTTCATTGTTTGCCTGAATCTTTCTCATGAATGTAATATACTCGTTCTTGTACGGAGGAATTGGGTTGTTCTGTATCCATCCACCGCAAGCAAAATGGAAAAAGTCCTGACATGGGTCGACAGAATTGTTCATGTTCCGTGTGAAGCGGGCTGCAATCTCCAGACAGTCAGCAGTGTTACACACTCTTGTCGGTGCTAGGCTTTCAGTAGTAGGAAGTGGCACTGATGTTGTTGGTACAGTCCGACCATCTACAGGACCATTTGTCTTTGCGTCATATTGATTGCGTTTGGAAAGTTCCACAGCAAATAATACCGCTAACACAGTGCATATCAAAAGAAGTATTCCACACATACTCAGCAAACATACTTCCACTCTCTTTCGACCTCTTCGGAAGGTAGTGGAGTGCACTCCAAGACTCTGAGTACTCGGTGCAGAACATAACTCTATTCCAGCCATAGTTTTGTTCTTGTGGGTTCTCATGCGTCTCTCTCCTTCTCGGCAAATGTTTCTTCAGATTGCTGAGTTGAGCTAAATAAACAATTTACTTTTTACAAGTCAGCTTTCAAAGAAAACACATAAATGAGCACCGAACATGTTAAAAGGTTCTAACACGTGCCTTATTTTCTAAAAACCCTACCGGGTTGTTTTCCTACTCACGATCAATTAGTGTTAAGAATGATACGCGAGAAAGCAAACCAAACTGAATTTTATTTACACAGATCACAACACAGGGATATACTTGCGATTCTTGCTTGAGATCCGAGAGATCATGCTCAGGAATCGAACAGCAGAATACTCGGTTCCTTTTTATGGTGTTTTTTTTCTCTTCTTTTTCTGACAGAAGCGAGAACAATTTTAATCATTTTTTTTAAAGAAGGAAATTTTATACTCTCAACGGGACAACTCTCCAACGACGAATATTACTTATAAATTATTAAAGCACCGAATCAACACACTGTCCGCGATTTTCCTTTGGCCGTTACTACTGTAGTTATGGGTAATATGTTTGTTTCAAGCGATCTTTTGCCTCGTAAAGATTTTTGTTGTTTTGTGCAATCCTCGCTTTTCTTTGGACATCAGTGGGTCCGAAGCTCAACTATTTGTTGTAACTACTTCTTTATTAATTAGCGGTTATGAAATCTATATCTATTTTTTTTATCTCTCAGGACTCTCGATGGAGAGTGTGAATACCAATGAGAATACTGCTGATTTCCTTTCATTTTCATTCAAGACAGGCTTAGTTAGCGGAATAAGAAGTCCACTCATAATCAGTAATCAATAAATATGTCTCAGCGAAAAGAAGGGACTGGTGGGATAACGAGAACTTGTTCAAATTATAATTCAATTATGAAGTGAACTTAAGGCATTTCAGTTGATACTGGCATATATTATCAGGCTGTGAATGGAAACTCCTATTGGACTTATTCCCAATTTTTGAGAACTGTTTTTTCGTACATGTGATTAACATATCGCTCTATCCTGAATCGTAAAGTTACAGGAATACCTTGAGGAAGCTATATGAAATCAATGCTAGCCAAAGATCTTTTCAACATTTCAATAGCTTAATTTAACTACTTGTTCTGCTTTACGCATTGATATCAGAGAGAAATGGTCAAACAATTATTAACGTTTGTGAAGCGAAAGATTTCATAATTCAGTTTGAACTATTATGTTCACACACTGTTCTTACGGATGGTTATTTGAAAAGAAATAGACGAAGCATTCAAGATTTCCTTTAAAATATGGTGAATCAGAAGAACACTCGAACTAAATTGACAATATTTAAACTGCTAAATCTAGATAGTTATTTCTCGAAATACTTTAACGAAGTAACAAATATATTGAAGGGCTGCTCTCTGGAAAGACCTGATCTCCTAAAAAGTTCAAACCCGTTCATGTTGAATTTTTCAACTCGCTGCTTGAGGATGCAATGTTCTCCTCGACAAGAAAATTAAAGACACGAGAGATTTCATAAATACAACAATCAGCGAAAGAAGGGGAAAAACATGTCATCCATTCAATTTGAAAAGAAGGAAACCACAATGAGAGTATATTCGCTTTTCCTACCTGATGACCATAATAACAGCCACGCGTGCACAGAATGGCGTTGTTCCAGCCAGCTATCAAGGTATTTGGAATGATAATGATTAAGTTATGAAAGCATATTGGTATAAGAGCATTAGATAAAACAATAAACATTTCGTTTCCGTTTAATGAAAACTATTCCTTGCTAGTGCTGTAAGGAAATTACCTCTTTGTTTTATTTAAGTCAATAAACCGAGCGATAACAAAACCTAAGCAATTTTAATCCTTTGTCGACAAAAACCGGAAAAGAATTCGAAGAACGATGCCATCATGTTCATGTCAAAGTATTGAATAAATTTCCCTTACCCTTTGCACGCTTCATGCGGTGAAAAATTGTGACAGTAGACTTATTACCTTTATGGAAGCGAATTTTCCACTGATTGCTCGTTCAGTCTTTCATTTTGCCATAGAGCCCCAGTAAAGTTACATTGGAATCCCTTTAAAACATTGCTGATATCGACATGGTAAAAATTCGTTCTATCTTGTGACAGCCAAGATTAACGAAAGACGTTGTGTGACACCAGTAATAAAACTTTCATCATTTTCGTGTGAATTGGGAAAAAAGTATAGTGCATTACCTGAGGAGCTTTTCGAGAACACTCTCTATTGATTTGATTGAGTCGTCTTGTCAAGAACTCGTCTTTTATTTTAGAACTGCATTCCTCTGTTGTTTTTTGACAAAAGAACAAGACAGGTGAAAGACAACTTCTCACCAATAAAGGCAGATAACTTCCCTAAAAATTCCCGGATTTGATCCCTCTAATGTTAAGGATGATAAAACAACAGAATATATTGCACGGAATGTTTCTGACATTTTGAAACGAGTTTTGTTGACAAAAAAAGTCGGCCTTAGATTCGGTAAGATTCATTACTAAATTGTGTTGATGAAAAATGTTCTGTACTTTCGGTCTTTTTGCATAGCGGTGAATTAAAATGTACGCCCCCTAAATATTGATGTAATTGTAAAATATTGTATTTACTTAGTCTCAAGTACTTTTACAATGATCATTGTCCCTTTCTTTAATTCTGTGCATTCCGGAAACACCTGCACAGCAAAATATTGCGATAGTTTTGCCTCTAAATATCGTTTCTTTGCAGAATCTTTGGTATGCAAACTGCCAAAAAATTGCTCACGTAACTTTACTTGCACTGAACAAAAAAATCAGCAACAACAACATTTATAGTCCTTGTTACTAGCTAGAGTCATAAACCTGTAGGTGGCAATACCCACCAATAAACGTTTTAACCTTTAAAATCCACAAAATGCAGCATTGAAACCCTTTGTCAGTGAAAAAAACACCATATATACCACCTTCTATCGTTATATTCTAGCAATAATTGTTACTTTCACTACCACAAATTGAAATCTAAAGAAATCATCACTGGATTAGGTAATTTGGTCACCAATCACAGCACTATTCACTGACCAACCTGATAGTCATGCCCTAACAACAAATAAAATAATGTAGTTCTTTTTTTAATATTAAGGTAATTGTTGATTGTGTTGGTACCTGGCTGATGATGAGTTTCTGGAAGAACAATTACAGTATTTTTTTACAAATCAACACTCCTTTTAAGTACATGAATCTATAGTTATGGCCTCTAAAAACACACAAGGTAAATGTCGGATGCTTTTTTTTTTCAACCTTAAACTGTACTCTATATGTGCAAAGTCCTATGTTTCCAGCTTATTACCATAATAAAATACATGGAACACACTGTTCATTCCTTAACTCGACTCACTTGCCTTTTCTGCAAATTCTTCTTTGCCAGCTTTTCTTCGCTTTGCATTAACTACCTCCAATTTGAATTCAAAACTTTCATGCCGGTCTCTTTTAGCAAGTGGTTTGCGTGTTTTGTTTTTTATTTGGAAGGGGACCAATGACATCAACTGATGAAATTGAGGTTGTCTTGTGTCACTCCATGAAACAATCTCGCCACTGTCATGCTCACCAGCAATGTTGCTCCTGTCAACACATTTAATCACAGCTGCATCATCTAGCTTTTCAGTCAACTTACTAAGTATTGCTGTTTTGATGGCTTGACTTGTCCACAACTTCTGAAAGTCTTTCAATAAGGCTTCTAAAGTCCCGCATTCATGTTTCCATGACATTTGCTCATAACAACAGTCATACAACACAAGAGGTAATTCTGAGGCCATATTGTATTGTGGTCGACTCGCACATTGCTTGATGTCAAGCATCCAGTCAATAACTTCCTTATTTTCTAGATTCTGACCAATCATGAAAAGTACAGCTACCATACATCGCACTTGATGCCACAGAAATGCTGACCCGCAAATTGTTATTTCACATATTTGATAGCCACTGCAGTGGTGTGAGTCATTCTTTATCTTTTCAACTGTAACTGATAGAAGATCTCTTTCAAAAGTTAAAACACCACTTGCAACATCCATTTTACAAAAATTCCTAAAGTCATGCTTTCCCACAAATTTCTGAGCTGCACAATTCATGATTTCTATATCAAGATTTGCTGCAGGGAAGAAGTATTTATATGTCCTGTGTAAACAACTGAATCTTGCATCAAATTCTTGTTCCACTGGCATCCAGGCAATAATCCTGATTTCTGGTGGAAGGAGCTTGTTTAGAATATGAGCATAGGAGATTTCTGAAATCTCCTTGGTTCTCCCTGCCAATGAATTAATCAAACTTTTAATCTATTGCAAAAATAAAAGTTAAGTAAACTTTTTTATTTAACCCTGTAGTAGTAACAAGATTGCAACTGTAGGGAAGCAATACAACGGATCTTTAAGTGTCATAAACACAACCTCAAAAAGTGAAACGATTTCTAATTCAAATATTTTCAAGGTGGGGGAAGAGGAACTGAGTGATTGAAATTAGAAGTTCAATACATACCGATTCTTTTTTGTACTTTTTCTCTGTCCCCACTCACAATGACACCAAGACCCTCAGCCAGATTTGATCGTACATCAAGGGAAACAACCTGTGAAAAGGCACTAACCCCTTTATCCGTCCTTCCACATCTGGAGTAGTTGCTGTTAGCTCTGTTTTCTACTAGACAAGCTTTATATAGAGCGGCAAAAAGGTGACCTTCAATTGTGTTTTCTGTACTCTCTTGACTAGCAAAGCCATGAAAGTCCCATCCAAGATAAGCTATTTTCAGAGCTATGTGTCGTTTATGATATCGAGAAAAATCAAACGACTTTTGCTTGCTAGTGTTTCCAATGCCTGCCTTAGATTCCTTGGAGTTCTTTCTACGATCTGCCGATACAACTGCCTTCTTCGTATCTGGTTTCTGTTCCACTGAAGAGCTTTCATCAAGCATCAAAAGTACTTCTTCCTTCTCTTTTGTTAGCTTGACCACCCTTTGGATGAGTTCTTCCTTTGAAAGGAACTGCAACTCGGTTGTCTCATCCAACACAACGTGCTCACCACAGTCCATCTGAACCTTGCTTTAGACTGCTTTTATCACTGGAATAACCTAATCGGCAGTATCACAGCAGAATTAGAACTTGCTGAGGACAAATAAAAACCTAGATTGACTATAAAGTGACGATGAATTACAGAAACACCAACAAAATGCACGTAAGAGAGAAGTGAAATTCATTTAACGAGACTTTCGTAGGTGCTGACAATGTAGTTGCCGCTGATTCGAGACGAGACCGCGATACACAACATGGCTGCTGTCGGTTGGTCTGTGTTGCGCTGCGCTTCAAGTTTCTCTGGGTTCATTTTGAGGAGGAATGTCCGTCAGCTGTCACCTCTAATCTGCAGACAGGTATAACTCGAAACTTATTGTGACATATTCCCTTAACTCTTTGAATGTTTTTTCTCTTTAAAAATTTCTGGTATCTTGTGAGCTACAGCCGAGAAGTACCCAAAATTTAATTTTCCTCATTTCCGTACGATAGCTTTATGCCAGGTGCTCTGTGTATGAAGGGAACATCAACTGAAATGCAAAATTCATGCAAGCATTGTGTGTACTAAACTGAAAGTATTTTTATGAAACTCAGGAGGAACTTTGATCAAATATGACTAAAGGTTGATTGATTTGGTGGGTTCCATTTTCTAAACCAGCTTTTTTAAAACAGAGAAAACCTGCCGTAAAATCAGAGAAAACGTAGCTAGAAATTGAAAGACGTCCCAACCTAGTACGATTTGTGTCTGCCATAAGGAAACAAGCTAAGAAATATTTTGTACTTAAATCCTTCTTTACAGACGTTAACTTTTTGATATTCTTCTTTAGGATGCTTTCCACCAAACTCACGAAGTCCCTTTGCATGCAAAGTATGGTGGCCGTAACACTGTGACACTAATCCCAGGAGATGGGGTGGGTCCGGAGATGGTTACAGCAGTAAAAGATATATTCAGGTACGTAGTCATGTTATCTGAAACATAAACAGTATACCCTGAAATTATTGCAAATTGCTGCATTTACCATGTGCGAAAATATGCCAACCACACACTGCATGTAAAATGAATGGGATGTCAGTGTTTGTTTTATGCTTCATACTTAAGCTATCAATAGTGAATGAATATAATTTTTATCTGTGGTCAGTCTCTCATAGAATTGCTCCAATAAACAAGTGTGGACATCTCTACTGATACTAGATGCTTTTATTTAGCATTTATTTCCATAGAATTGTCATATATTCCTGTTTTAGATACATTGGAGCACCAGTTGATTTTGAAGAGCTTAATTTAAGGTAAGATATATACTCTATGCTAATAAGATTTGATAGTGTCTGTAAATATTGGTAAATAATGATTCCAGTAAAGGGCAGAGATAGTTTAATTTCAAAATGATTACATTAAAATGCTTATTCCCATCTTTTCCAGTGGATTGAATCTGAGTGATGAGGACACATTCAGTGATACTCTAGAGGATGTTGTTACATCAGTAAAGAGAAATGGAGCTGCAATTAAAGGTATTCAATTGCTGTAGAAACTTTATACTCCTCACTTTTGTCATAGGTTTCCTGTCGATGTATAAATGTTTTACTCTGAAATGAAAGCATTCTACCATTTTGTTGCCTACAATTAGATAATGAATCACAGCTCTACAAAAACACCTTGATTTACACTCACAACTGTATGTTATTTTATATCCAATATCAATTATATGGTGGTTGATTCCTTTTGCCTTACTGATCCATGTGGTCAGTTGGTGCATATACTTTATCTATGTCTACATGGAACCTGCATTAATTGAAGTTGTTCTGCTTAATTTTTATTTCCAAGAAAGGATTTAAGAATATGAACATTCACATCTTCTTGGTAGAAATAAAACTTGTAGGCCACATTTGTCAGAGAATGTTTACCTTTTTTCTAAAATACACAATTCTGTATGATACACTGATCTGGCTCATTTTGGTTTTTAGGAAATATTTTTACTCCATTAGATCAACCGACTTTTAAGTCACTCAATGTTGAGTTACGGTCAGTATGAATAATAATCCATTTTTTCAAATTAGAGCAGAAAAAGGATCTCTATCAAGAGACCAACTATACATGTAAGACAATAATGTAACCTTCAACCATATTTATATTGTTGTCTTTGACTTTTTAACTCATGTATTTTTTGAATTTTTATCTTGTTGCATTGCATTATCACAATTTAATCCATGGGAAATGATTTTTTTTTCTTCTTAATAAAGGAATTATTTTTCTTTATGATATTCTTTGTATCCATGAGATTATTTAGAGTCTGAAATTTATTTGTAAATATACTGATTTCTTTTTGATGACTAGTCTTCAGTTGGATCTATTTGCAAATGTTGTGAGATGTAAATCCATCCCAGGTATCCCTGTACGGTAAGAGTTGTTTATATTTTGTGTTGGAAATCATTTTTTTGTCATTGAAATTTGTTAGATGGTTTTTTGTATGAGCAATTTTTGTACTTACTAATTATATTTGACTGTATATTAGTTTGGTAAAAATATTCTTCTTCTAAGGCATGGTGATGTTGATCTAGTAATAATCAGAGAAAACACAGAGGGAGAGTACAGCCACATAGAACATGAGGTGGGTTTTTATTAAATAACAGCAATGACATGTCATAATTATAACGCCAGTAATTTCCTTCTCCTGCAAGCCAAATTGTTATTTGCCCAAAAATAGGGCCAATAATGTCCAATAATTTGTTTAGATAAAGAAGATAGTATTATTTGACTGTAACTACTGAGTGTGAAGAGGAAGTTTGTTTTTAAAAGCATGATTACTCAAACAATTATTAGAGCTAGTACATTCTCATTTACTTGCTACTACAGAAAATAAAAATATTGCATAGTGGAAATTAGTGCTTCAGTATTATATCAACCTCAGAACGGATGATTAATGCAAGATATGACATACTACTCAGTCTTCTCAACCAAGTAGAGTATAGGCACCTGTATGATTGCTTTCAGGAGCAATTGTGCTGGTTGAGGTTTGGATTGATAATCAACCTATAGTAGGTAGAGAAAGAATCTTGTGAAACTGAAATTTAACAACCTTCTTCCTTTCCCTTCATGCTATTTAGCCAATGAGAAAAAGATAAAAATGTTTTTGGTCTTGTAACAAGAGTGAGACAAAGACAAAATTCTGAGTCCCTGTGAAGACCTTGGGCTTTGTTTACCACTGAGTCTCTGTTGCTCAATGGTAGAGCATTGGAGGGAGGAATCCCAAGGCCTGAGGTTCAATCTTCATGGGAACTCAGAATTTTTTTTCTTTGTCCCAGACTTGTGACAAGAAAAAAATTTATCTTTCTCTATTTCTTTACTTAGTCAAGGAGCTATTTTCTGAAAAAGCCTTATTTAACGAGTTGGTTCAACCCACCCGACAGAAAAGGTTTGAATCAACAGAAATAAACATAAAAGTTTGGACATTTTGGCAGATATGCATAGAAACAATTTTTGTATGCTATCATAGAAATGTGGGCAATCATATGCTTTAATATTTGCACAGCATCCTTCTTTATTTCAAAGATTTGACCCGTTTTGAGGTTGCGTTTATTCCAGCCTCGTTTCCATGTAAACAGTGATGGAAGAGACATCAGCACTAATATTGTCTATCTTCTGGAGTTCTACGCATCCAAATGTTTTTTTTAAGCATAATTTGAAAGTACATGATTTCTCTGTTGCCACATAAGATGAAAAGCCTGGATAAGACCTCTGCAGGATTTGAAACATGTCAAGATTGACAAAGGAGACTGCTTTTAGAAGAAAAAAGGTCATGTGACAATCACGTGACATGCTGTCGTACCATGTGAACACTCAAATTGTAGGCAGGTACATGATCATCATTTTTTCAGATGGGTTTGGGGCACTTCAGTGAAAGAAGATGAAATTTGAGGTCAATTTCCGTTTGAGCCTCATTTCCATGCTGAGTACCATATCATGGTATAAAGCCCCATTTATCTCGTTAGCGGTACCACAATTCGGGACTACATAGTATCTTATCTTAAAGAGCAGGTATTGGTCTATCATTGGTCTGTCAGGTGGGTTGAACGAAACCAGTTTTTGTTGGGTCTGGCTCCTTGACTAACTGGACTCAAAATTTACCATCTTTCCTCTACTAGGTATTATTAAGAGAAATATACTTGTAATGCAGACTCAGAATTTTTTCTTTGTCCCAAGCTCATCACAAGATGAAAAACATCTTTCTCTGTATTTGTAATGTGGTTGGTTTTCTTTAGAATGTAGATGGGGTTATTGAAAGTTTTAAAGTCATGACGGAGGAGAAATGTACAAAAGTTGCAAAGTATGCATTTGACTTTGCTGTTAAGCATGGGAGAAAGAAAGTGACAGCAGTTCACAAGGCCAATATCATGTATGTTTCACAATCTACATTGTAGATAGTACTCTTTGTCATTTACTCAGTATATTTTATCATATAATGTTAATTGATAAATATGAATTAAGATGTGATGTTCAGCCCACCTAAGGATTCACCTCAATTACTTAATGTTCTTTTGTTATGATTGGTGGTAGCATGGTCTGCTGTTTTGATGAAACTTCCTGTTGAGAGGTCCCATCACTCATAAGCAGCCAAACTTTTCTTAGTCAAATAACAAATTAAATGTTTTTACTGAAGGACTGAGAATGGATAGCCCTTGAAAGCCTTGTATAAAATGAATAAAAATAATAATTCTATCATTGAAACTCCATCAATAAACAGAGTTCACTGGATTATCTTACGTGGATGTTTCCCTGAATCGGGGAATTTTTCAGGGTAATGAATGCACTTGAATCAAGATGCTGAAGAATTCATAATTTTGACCACCAATAGAGTTTCATCTTGTCAGTGAGTACAGTTTCCACTCGATAAAAGTTTCTTGATTATTTCTTTTATTTTGAAAGGAAACTTGGTGATGGTTTGTTCTTACGATGCTGTGAAGAGGTGTCCAAGAGCTACCCTGACATTGAGTTCAATTCCATGATCATTGATAATTGCTGTATGCAGCTTGTGTCAAACCCTGAGCAGTTTGATGTGATGGTGATGCCCAACTTGTATGGTAATATTGTCAGTAACATTGGAGCCTCTCTTGTTGGTGGACCAGGAATTGTACCTGGGGAAAACATAGGAGGAGATTATGCAGTATTTGAATCAGTAAGGACTTGAAAAATAACTAATTAACATGTTTAATTTGTCCCTTGTTACATTTGCAATAGTCATGTGGAAGCTCTTGATGATACATAATGATTTAAGCAACTAATTTGCACTCAGTGCTGAAAGCTTTTAACATGTATCAGGTTATACTTAAGGTGGGCTGGCCTGCATTAAACTTAATTTGATGCTGGCAGCTCCTAGGGGTTTAAAAAAAGACTTGTTAGGGCTAAATGTGTAGCATTTTTGTAGATTTGTAAACAAGAGTCCACTAATTGGATTCCGTAAGTAATCAGAGATACAGTTGAACATAAGTTATCCAGACTCATTGGGACTGTACTGAGTATTCCTGTTAATATAGGGTTATAATAATCAAAAAATGAAAATGAATGAGTCAAAAATAAAACTGTGTATGTATCTTTAATAAATATTAAGCAAGAATTTGAGAATTTTCTCAAATCAATGTATCATTACCCAAATTTGCCATAGTAATCTAAAAAGGTTGTATGACAACAACATTTTGGAACCTAAAATGCTTAAGTAAGTCAGTTTGTTTGAAGCTGCTACAGCCTGTGCACATTGCTAATTCTATCATTTTTCTAAGCTGCATTACTTGAAAAGTGTCACCGCTGTTTCAGTACATCCACTTTATTTGATGGGAAAAAAGAGTTGTTTTGGATTTAAAATGTGACTACCTGGTAATTAACTTTCTTGAAAAATGAGACCAGAGAAGCAAGTTTGGATGAATTCCATGCCTTGATGATGTTGATGTGAAGAAATCACCAAATTGTGCTTTTATTATTACATTGCTCATAAGAATGTTTCTTTGTTTCTTCTCTAAATGAAGATTGGTGTATGTTGTATTGCAGGGATCACGGCATACAGGTCTGGATATTAAAGGAAAGAACGTTTCAAATCCTATGAGCCTGCTATTTGCAAGTACACTTATGTTGGAGCATTTGGGGTAAGTCTAATATAGAGCTAGAAACCACAGGCTTTTCTCTACAGAACCTCTAATTAAAAGTTCTCTGTAAAGTTGCGTTGACTTTGGCTTAAGAGGTCTGGCTCCAACTCTGCCTGTGTCCTCTTGTTGTGTTCCTGAGAAAGACTCTGCTATTACAATGCCTCTCTTCACTCAGAAGTACGAATTAGTCCCATCAAACTGGCAGAGAGAGCTGGTGAAATGCTGAGGTGTGACATGCAATACACCTGGCATGTTAAAAAGCTCACTATGAATTAATAAACTATTATTGTTATTATCACTAGCATGCCATTGAGAAGAAAGGGGTTAAAAGGAATCATTGTCACCTCATAAGGGAGGGAAGGGAGGGGTTTAAAGGAATCCCTACCACCTCTTAATTAAGGAAGGGGAGGGAGGGGTCAAAAGGAATCCTTGCCACCTCCTAAGGGGGAGGGAGTGTAGACAGTTATGTTGCACAGGATATTTATTATATAAGATGATTTACTCATCATTGCTATCTTATTTTCAGGTGGAATGCTTATGGTGACATGATTCACAGTGCTATTTTAAGAGTAGTAGAGAAAGGAGTGGTGAGAAAAATAATTTTTCTTCATTTCAAGTTCATGTTGTTGTAGTCTGAATTGAACAGTAGACTGAAGCCAACATGGATTACTCCTTCCTCACTGAAATTCACCAAGAGTGCACTATATTTATAATAGATTTCACTTTTGAGTCAAATTGCTTTGTAGAAAATGAAGATACTTCCATCCACACCTAAATTTTTTGTAGCTCTAACTGTTAGAAATTAAACTTGCTCAGAATAAAATAGAGTAAAGTTCAGATAAACAGTTCCTTTTTCTTTTCTTGAACTGCAGAAAACTGCTGATATTGGAGGTGGACATCTTACCACAGATTTTCTTGATTGTTTGAAAGAAGAAATTGGTCAAATGGGCAACTTGAGTGGAGCAGATTAAAATGTAATTCTTTGGCGATTTGTGAAATGTCATTTTCTTGTCAATTTTTTTTTGTTTAACGAAATTTTCAAGTTTTCTTTGTTGTTGCTTGTTTGAAAGAAGATACTGTAAATTTTATGTAAAACATTTTCAAGTGATAATTAAAGGCTTTGTACAGATTTGTTATTTGTAACAGCTTCACCCAATGTAGTCTACGCCTTCAAATGAAGATCTATATTTGTGATCTCCGTCATGGTGTTTTACGGTCTAACACTGAATGGCTTTAAACACCCAAACAATTATTTTAGTATTTTTACCTAATAACATAAAGTAAAATTGCGGCCTTAAAGATAAATAAAGTGACAAATGGCTTATCAAAGTGAAGTTATTTGCGGTTGATTGTTTGACTCGCTGACGTTTTTGTGGTAATTCTTTCGATTTGTGATGATGTGGTGAGCCACATTAACTTGATGAAAGAAAACTTTTGCCACCAGATGCTGAAAAGTGCTGCTAACTAAATTACGCGAAAAGTAATGGTGGCAGAAGGATATATCACCCATAAGTGGATAAGTCCCGTCAGAAGGATGAGTTGTTACATTTAAAGAGTTCCCATAAAAATCGTTATCTGTCAATGAAAATTGTTGAATGTTAGCGCAAAGCTTCCAATCAGCTCTCGCTCATTTTGGTCACGAAGTTTTGGGGAATCCATCTATAGAATTTCTGCATTTTTGTCCTGGTTATAGATCGGATTAGCTGAGGTTGTGCACTCAAACGTACATTTACAAGTGCACCCTCCCAGAGATCAAACAAACTCCTGAAATCACTTAATACCACTTCCTTCATGACCGACCTTCAATTGGTAGAGGCGCAAAATGATGGTCATGTCTTATCAAAAAACGATCTCTGCACTAAATTTCGCTTATCCCTTCTATTTTGTATGAAGCAAATCTCTTATATATCACATGCATTATTTCTTTCACTACTCGTTGTAAACTCTTGAGCGAGCTACGTTCCTGCATATTAAAGGTTGAAATGTTTCGGAAAAGTTCAAACAGGTCGTCTACAAGCAGACCTGGTGGAATAATCGACAGACACAATTGCGTGTCAACGTGAGGCATAGAAGAACATCAAGCACGAAAGTAAATTCCTACCCTAAAAACTTTACTAGCTGTGTTATTTCTCAGAAATCAGTCAAAATTAGGGGGAGGGGGGGGGGGTTCTTTGGTAAAACACCGGTTACGACTTCTTTTTCTTTGTTATATATTTATCAACGGTTTAAACTTGCCTTACCTGATGCCAAGAAGATTTTCAACTTAGTATCCGTGAGAATAATTTAATCCTAAAGATTAAATTAAAGACTTCAGAAAAATGTCTTGTTATTTTTCAACCTCAAGTAAATGGAGCAAAATGTTTCGTTTCTTTCGTTCGTGATAAAATTTTTTTCCTTGTCATCATCACCATCATCATAATTGTTATTATTATTACTATTATTATTATCCAAGTACGGAATGTTTTATGCATGGACCAGCCATGGTCAGAGATATCGCCCTTCGACAGTGCTATAAAAGTTTCATAAGTGTTTCCCCCTTCAAGTTTAATTTACTTAATGACTCCTAGGATCAATTCTAATTTTTTTTTTACAAAAGGATTTGTGAAGATTATCAGTTAAAATTGTCCACAAAGCATCCTCGCTGTGTTTACAATATTTTGATGTGATCAGAATTCACTTTTAAGCGGAAAAGAATGTTTTTCATTCAACACGAAGGAGGGGAGGGGTGGGGTACGTGGGCTTGGATAAGGTTTCAGGGCTCTAGGGCGGGATATGAACCGGCAGAAGGAGCAGCAAAAGAAATCACTAAGTGCCTGAATCAACAGGATTCCTCGAAAGAAGCATTAGCGACTTTAATTAACCAACAAAAGGCTTCATTATACTTGTTCTTGTGTTTTAACAAAGTTATCAGATCTGTAACGTACAGAAAACTCAGAGGGGTGTTGAATGAAGTCAACGAGGGGATGGTTGAGTGATTTATTTGCCCTGGTAATCACCTGAGCAACTTTGCTGAGACTGTTATTCATCTTTAATTCACCTTAGGCCCGGTGAATTTTGTTGAATAATCCTCTCACTACGAATCGCCGATCATTTGACTAAAATTTATGTACTTGGCCATTGGAATTTGGTAATTGTTGACTAAAATGTAAGTGTTAATAACTTATTTTATCACTGACACGAGTTCTGTGGAGCTGGAAGGTCAAAGTAGGTAAAGAACGAGTAAAGAGGGGGGCATTGGGATTTTCGATTTTGCGGTTTTGGCTATTTTTTAGATCAGTTTTTGCGCCACAAAACTTTGGTTTTTCGGTTTTGATGTTCATTGCGGTTTGCGGATTTTCCGTTATTTAGCATTTGGTTTTCGGTTTTCGCGACGACTTTTTTTTGGACGATTTTTTCTACGGTTTTGCGGTTTCTAATAGGCCCCAATGGCCCCCTTAGTAAAAAACACCGCTTTTCCGGCGCGCTGTTCGTCAGGCTGATGGGGAAGTATAATTACAAACAAACAAAGCGACGGTCAGGTAGACAAAATGATATGATCAAACAAACAGGACACAAAAACGAATAGAAAAGAAAACTTTGCTTCGTGTCTCATAATACTATATGCTGCATGTGTCCTTACTTAGGGAAGTTAAAGCCACTGTCACCATCAGGGATCTCCCTAATATAAGCCATTTAAGGCTTCTTTGGCTATATCAGGACTGACGATAGGTTTTGTGATCTGAATCATATGTTGCATACAGCTCAAAAGCTCATGGCCCCCACAAAATTAAAATAAGGAACTTCCTCGGTTACTCAAAACATTGCTACCGAATGCTTGTTAAGAACAATTTTTACCGAAAATATCCATTTTTGTGCAAATGGTTTTAACCAGTGAACTTTCGTTGATGTTTGAGGTTTAATCCGACTCATTTATCAAAATAATAAGTCTTACAGTCTTCAAAGTTTCTGTCAAGGATAGAATCCAAGTGACATTTTATCTAACAGCTAAATGACATTTCAACCCACAACACGTCCTTCATGGGATTTTAATTTGTGGCTGACAGGAAATACGAAATCGAGCACGCGATGAATGAGTTGTAAATAAGACCTAGCACCGCCATTATACTGACAGTAACGGAGCACAGCTTGTAGTACAAGGTAGAATGTTCACCTGCAGATAGCGTGAGTAAATTGCTTTAGTTTGCTGAAGAATAGCAAAGTCGTCTTTCTTATGACGAGGTCTTGAAAATTTTTGAAGGGGTTTCGGACTGGGCTTCTGTTTTTCATTAATAATTTTTCTGAGCCTTAACCTCTGAACCATTCCAGTCAGAGGGCTTTCTAAGTTGTTCATGTTTTTCAAGAAATCCTTTTGAATCTATTCATTGTGCTCTCAAATTTGTTGGCCATTCCTAAGCGTCTTTACTTAAATTCCACTCATGAAATAGCATCACGTTCAAAACCACCAAAATAAACAGTTTCTCACGTTTGATCGGAGATGAGAGTATTGTTCGATGACGTAAGATCTTAGGGTTTAGATTATTGTAAACACGGACAGTGTTCGTTCATAGTGCAAAAGAGCGCCTTTTGATGCGAAATGTGCATTGTATCAGCTTTCTTGTTTTTTGAGTGTGAGAATGAGAATAAGGGATTAAAGAATATGGATCAAGTAGAACATCAGGAAAAGATTAGAAGGCAGAATATCGATCGAAACATGTTTATATTTTTATGGACGTCACCGTAACTGAATTATCTGTATGTTGATTATGTTGGTGGCAGGACTCAGTGAACGATGGTCACCAGACTCATCTCATTATCCTCTGATAAGCAAGAGTGACTCAAATCTCAACATGCTTAAAATACAATAAAATAGCTGCATTGCAGTTAGGCTCAAGCAGGCAGAAAATAAATTCTATTTGTAGTCGTCTTTCATTACTTGAGAGGTCAGGTTGTAGATAAATACATGAATCCCATTGAAGCACATTGACCACTTTCTCAATTGAGTTACACTCTGTTACGTGAAACAACTTCTTCACTTCGGCAAGCTTCAGGGTGACTCTGCCAAAAATGCCTTTCCTCAAGTTGTCTGAATAAAAGTAGGCAATGGTGCTTTTAAAAATATTGTATTCCATCCATAAACTGCTTTGAATTAAGGATTAAGTGGCGTACGGTTTTATATGACTGAACACTGGACTAATCTCTCTAATAACAAACTAAACGACAAAACGCTGAAACTGAAATACACTTTTTTGTTGTTGTTGTTGTATGACGCACAACACGGTTACAATATGATTCTGTTTTCACCCGTTTTAAGCCCGAGCATAGCTGAAAAACCGCATGAAAACAAGACGCTATCCCGCATATAGAATATCACAATTATTCAGAAAACAGCTTAGGAGTTAAAATGAAAATGAACAGTTCCAACCATTATCCTAAAAAGAAGGAAATCTCTGTTTTAAGAACTATTATTGTAGCGGATTCTTTGCGTATTTAGTCTAGTAAGAGACGTGCAGTGAAACAAAGATTCACGAAATATTAATGTTAGTATGTCACATTTCCACCATCAGCGATTAACAAGAACCATCAAAAGCATACTGTAACTTTTTCAGGCGACAAATTCAAAGATGTAAATGACAGATCTGAATCGCTCCGTTTCTTTGACAGAGGAAGTTTTTCTTAATCACACTCATGAAAAACTCAGTGTTCAACCTGGCAGTGTGAAAGTTTAATTGGGGTTAATTTCTTGTAAAGTGTAGTAACTTATGGACTGTACGTTACGCCTCAAGCTCTTTTTAAGGTGAATATCTAAGTTTTGGCGGTGAACTCATTGCTCAATTCTCCAACCGCCCCGTGTTAAATTGTGAGAGGATTGCTGTGAAGTTCTTTTGCTAAGGTGACGAAATTAACATGCTACAAATTTTTGCAATAGATTAAGTCGGAATTATAAGAGAAAGTCCAGCTTAACTTGAAATTAAGTCTAAAAATAACAATAACAACAACAACAAGACCAGCCTGATGAAACGCAGGTAAGCTGATGAACCTACGTTATCAAGTCTCACCAACTGAGTCCAAAGTTTCATCTCTTAAAAAATCTACATAGAGAGGCTTTCTGTAGAAAATTCCGTGAAATTGTTGCTGCAAAATAGTGGATTAGGAGTACATTTTTTATCGCTTAACACACGAACAGCGGGGAATGAATCATGAATCATAATCCCGGCCACGGACAAATATAGACTTTTCCCTGACCACCCAGGGTTCTCATATGTTATAACAGCAAAAGCTGTAGAGCTCTTTTAGGACATTTTTTCTTTTCTTTCAGTATGGGAGCCGAATAACAAGCGACCAACAAACACGAACATGTGGGGTTTGTCTTTGCTTTACGATCTACATACCGTAATCCAGTTCTCAGTGCTCGAAAAAAATGATAAGCAATTCCCGAAAAAAAAAAGGAAAAAAAAAAAACAGTGTGGTAGGTGTCCTACTTTTCAGGACAAAATAATTGTTTATAAAAACAGGATCAATAAAAAGTTAGCAGTCATATTTTAGCGAACGTTTTCCAAACTCTTACACGTGATTTCAAACCAGCGCAATTTGCCCTCACCAACAATAAAATCAAGCCTTCTGTTATTGTTTACCTATTTGGGAGAGATATAACAGACCTCACCCCCGCTGAGGATGGACATTTCAAAGGTCCTTCTGACACCACGTAGTAAAACATTCAGTGTTTCCTGGATGTCCCACCCAAATTACGTTCCCCATTACGTTAGGGAACAGTTAACTCATGAGAGTAAATCTGGATAAGTTGATGATTAGACAAATTATTCATTCCTTCACGGACTAAAGAAACATTCTCACGCCTCAAAATTGTTTTTCTTTCGGCTAAACATGTTTTCCTGTCGGTAACAGTAATTTAACTCCTACAGCTTATCGTAGCTTGAGAAGTAACTTAGCTGAAGACCACTGCATGTCTTCTGCAAAACATAACTATGCTTATCAACAGAAGAACAGACAAATGTATAACGTGCTGAATGTGTCGGCGATTGGCTGTAATACCATAGCGAGCTAAACGAGCACACATGCCGTGAAATGCAGATTAAATAATTGCTTTATTTTTCATCAGGGTCATAAATCACTAACCTCTTGAATAGCCTGTATTTAAACTCTATTTCGGAAGGAGCCCTAATGGCGCCTTCAACATTTTAGCGCCGTTTGCGTGCAGAATAAGAAAATAATTAGTCATATAAAACACATGTAATAAGGTTATTGATCGCCTGAGGTCGTGCCACAGTTGTCAATCCTGTTTGTAAAGTTCTCTGAGGAATCAAAGGCTTACCGACTTCCTGTGAAAGATACTGTCAGTATTGACAGACGGTGTATCCTCTAAATTAGTCAATAGTTGGCTTTCCGCTTCTAAGTGGTCTTAACTGAAGATTTATTAAGATTCTGAGGAAAATTAATTCGAAATCAGTTGAATTAGCGGCTCGCGACATCTGAAGAGCGCATATCGTATGTTCCGTTGGCCACTTGTCTCCAGGTCTTGCGTGTTAAACTGCCGATAGCAGTCTGTGATAACCTTCGCTCTTGAATCTTCAATTTCCATCTGATAACTTCATCTACTGACAGACCACAGACACTGCCAAGGCAAGTCTATTTTTGATACTGATCGTTTACAAATAAAAGCCTTAATAGTGACTGTAAATGTTTTATTGTTCCTGGTAGTATTGTATTGGTGCACGCGCTGTTCGTGACTTGCTCTGTTTGGGCGCCACATCGTATCGCCACCTCGTATCGCCACCTCGGTATTCTATGTTTTACTTACTTTCTCTCTTGGGTTAAACTCATGACTTTTGTTTTCACTAGCGAAGAGCTGTAGTTTGGTAAACATGTAATCTAAACCTGTTATTCATGGTGAAGGTTTTTTTGCCTTTAAACCCCATTTGAGGTCTCCTTCAATCTCCCAATTGACTGATTTGCTCGTGCTACGTGTGGGTGGCTGTCACAGTAACGCTTGTTGGGACATGCAATGGATAACCTGAAAGAAATATTCTCTTTTTCTCGTCAATTGATAATTTGGATCACAGCAGGGTTACGGAAATTTGAGCCCCATTAGGTTAGCGTATATTATTGCGTAGTGAAATCCATTCCGTCTCACTCTGTGACTTTTTTTCATCGCAGGTTTAAGCCGCGTTAAACTCTCTTGACTACACGTTGATCTGAGGATCCGCTGTGGTCTGAAAAGCTCTATAAGAACTGAACGAGAAACAAGAACGTGGTCAGACTGGTATTTTCCAGAAATAAAAGAGGAAGCATTTCAAGAGTGGTACACCATGAATTTACAAGTTAAGTTTGCGCTGATGTGCGCGGTGTGTGTGATGTGCGTATTTAAATCGTGTGAAGCTCGATCCAAACGAATTCGACCTGTGATCCACAAATCATTGCTTGTTGTTGACGAACAAGGAATCGATGTAATCACAGATGCGTCCGAGTTGACCAAGAATGCTATGACCAAGTCTCGCAAACGGATTTTTATGGACGACCACAATTTTATCAAGCGGGTGGCATTGGTTGAGTCTTTCCTAAACAAAACATCGAAGGAAGGCGGGCCGTGGAGCATAGAAGAGTGCGCTTTTAAATCGACGCAAAACAAGCGGAAGGAAAACAAGCAGCTGGCTGCGCTTCACAAGAACATACGCCGTACATTTGGTGTGACTTGGTCCAAAATCAAATACAGAGATTTACGGAGACCCCTTTACTCCGTTTTGGCCGCCAGGATTATCCTGGAAATGGCTGTACCGTCAATTCCCCGTGGTTTGAGAAATCAAGCCAGGCTTTGGTTGGAGACCTACCATGAATGCGCAAAGAAACTCAGCCACCCACAAGTATGGGAAGACACGAGGAGCAGATTTATACGAGGCGAGTGTTTTGATTTGTTTTATTTTATCCTAGAGTTTATCCTAAGCAGTAGTAAAATGTCTCATGTAAAAGGAATTTTAAGCTTAACAGAGGAATGCAAGCATTTAAACCGGAAGCTCAGTAGTGGGTTCCGGTTCGGGACATATTTACACTGATTAAACCGTACAAGGAACCAAAAGTAGAAGGGTCCTTGAGAAATACGTGAGTGGTTCTATTTTTGCATGGTTTATTAGGGAAGTCGGCCTTTAGAGTAGCATTCTCAATGACCCGTGTGTAAGTAATTTTCTGCTATTTCTACCGCGTGCGTCCGGGGAGAAAATTGATCTACAGATGTCGCTCACGCAAGACCCTTACTTTGTACTTTATATCCTAACCGTGTGCTATTCTGAGAGAGATAGGCCACGAAAGAAGTGCTTTTCTATAGAGGCATGAATAGAATGATTCTACCATCATTTTTCAAACAACCGTGTGGTATTCGCAAATAAGCAAGTAGCGGCTAATGGCCCAAGATAAATCTCAAATTTCTGAACCAAAATACCCGTCATTAGTGAGAGGAATTGGTTACAGCTTTAAAAAGGGCTGTGTCAGCCTTCCTATCCCAGAAAACCTGATCTTTCAGGTTTTTTGCTTACCCTGTGGTCTCGGGGTAGTTTTGAATTCGCGGTAGTAGCATCGTCTTTCAAGTTGTAAAAAAGTTATGAAGGAGAAATCTGCAAAAACTACGGTGTTCTTTATTACTTGTAAGCCTGGCAGTTGTTTAAACCTGTTAAAAGAAATATGTCGCTTGTTGTACTCAGAGTTTCTTCTCGATGTTCCCCTTATTATTGATGGAGATAAGTGTTTCATATGCGAGATATTGAAATATGTTTTTTTCCCTTTTTTCATTAACCAGTTACAAGGCGACATTTTTTTTGGCGGCCGCAATTTCACATGAGGTCAACAAGCAACTTGAAGTACGGGTATTGATTAAGTTAGGCGATAAGATAACTGTAGGGAAAGAGTTTGGCACGTTAGCGGTAAGCCCGAACTGAATAAGTAACAGCTGAAGAGCTGTGAGAACCGTAAGGAAAGAAGCTTGCCAAAGAAGCTTGAAAAACTACAAAAATGCCGATCAAATAAGGAAAAAATGCTAAAGAGTTGAGATTTGCTTCAGCTTGGCGTTTGGCTACTTTTCCAAACTTCTAATGATGTTTGATTTGCCTCACAGAGCCACATTCCTTCCAGACTGTTCGGCTCTGAATACGAAGAAGACGTAAAAAATCTCCTGCTAAAATTTCTTTTGACTAAAATTCGAGCTTTTTTATCGTTTGATGAGAAAAACACATTCTACATTAGGAAATCGCACTGGCATTTTCAGAGGTAAAAGGTTGCGTATTTGAGAGCAAACGTTATTCCTAAATCACAGTGGATGCAAGGATGGTTTAAGATTTGTTTTTAAAACCCTTTCATTCTTCCGGACTCTTGTTTTTCTTATCAAAACTATGTTTTTTCATTCAGTTCAGTTTGAAAGCAGTTGGAATGGCTTGAAGATAAAAACAATCGGAGGCGATGAACAAACAGGATTTGTGGAAAATCCTAAATGTAAACATCATTTCAAATACCGATTACTCATTCGGTGGCATTCAGTTTATTTACCCCTGCACGTTTTTGCTGTCGATTATGTTGACACATGTTTCGTTATCGAAAATATGTATTTGTTCAAGAATAACGAAGAGGAAAGTACTTAATAGTTTGGCTATGATTATATTTCCTGTTTGCCAACCATCGATTGATTCAGCCCACCCGCATGTCAATCGTTGACACCTAAGTTTTTTTTCCACCCATGCACGAGGCTTCTGAGCTTACTGTGCTGTTCATTTTGACGGAGCTTATTCGTGATTATCCTTGGCAATTGTTTGTTTAGTCTTGTGAAACATTCTGATATTTCCACAGTACAAGCTAGTGCTCCAATAAAGTTTTTCGCCTTGTAATGATTGCTGTGCACCCTGGTCGGTCGCTGAGTGGAGTTTCATTGAGCACCAGATTTCGAGAGATATCAATACTTAGTTTATCTTAAAAAGAAAAAGAGTTGCTTTTAAGGGTTAAGCATCTTCACTTTATGTTTTTCCCACGAGAAACTTTTTTCAGGCCCATAACAAACAGCGAACTGATGAAAAGAAGTTGTCAATAAGAAAATTCATTATTCGAAATTTTAACTGATGTCATTGCTATACACGTGAATATGGTTTATTACCTATGGCCGATTGCATTTTTTCTACGGTTAAAAAACGGAGATAGTTATGAACAAGCAGAAGTGCCCAACAATTTCCGTATTTTTTCGTGGAACTGGTTTGTTGTCCCACGCCGAGATGACCATTTCATACTTCCTCATCTTTGATATACAGCTGGGTTAAATTTCCTCTACTCAGTCACAGTAATGTTTGTGTTTTTTGTCACGTGATACTCTGCCTTCGTTGGGCGAAGACAGAAAAAAACCTTATTTCATTTATCGTAATTATATTCGCATGAACTAAGGATTACCAAAAAACAAACGATCGATGAATTTGGGACGATAGAAAAAGATCCTTCGACTTGACGTTGGCATAGTGGGAAACAGATGCAGTTACAATGTGAAGAGCTGTGTGTAATTCACAATCGTTTTGTTGATGTCATGATATACATATGAATTAAAAATTTATGTAACATCTACATCAAGCTCCCTATCTGTTTTTATTTTCGCCTTCTGCTTCACGACTCTGGTTTTATTTTCTCTGGCTCAGCTGCTGGTCAATTTAGAGGAAATGTTTAGAGATATACAAAGTCTTTTTCTTTTTGCACGACGAGATCGAAGAAATGAAAAACTCCTCGATATCTTTGAAGATTTTCTGTTTGAAGTTTCCCAATGTTTTCTTGGACAAAAGCGGCTGACTCGGAAAAAAGAAACTTAGAACTCATTCCGGAGACACCAATCTGCGGTTTTCAACCAACTACTTTGAGAGTCATGTCTCACGCAAGCCGTCGAATTGGTGGTTTTAATCACGATCAGTTCAATTTATCTGCGATCTTTAAGACGTCTAGGTGCAAGGTCACATTAGGATGCTTTTTAATTATGCCTCTCAATAGCCATATTGAATTCGTTCTTAAAGATCTTAACCTGTATCTGTAGATGGTAAATGCGGGCATAAGTGTGATATTGCGGTGATTTTTTTAGCGCATATATTCGAAAAAAGATCCAATTATGATCCTAATTGAATCAGTATATCTGGTTTACAGGCTTGACCTCATGTCTCCCTCTGATGTGTTTAATAAACTCCAATTCTTTTCACTCTAGTAGAGGAAGAATCAAACACATTGTAGCCGACCTCACTTTTTTTTTTTCTTCAATTCGTAAACTATTGCCGAGGGCATGGGATCTTTTTCTTTAGAAGGTCACCCTAACCTTCAGAAAAGCAAAATAAACTCGAGATTTCCTCCCAGGAGTCTGCACATTTCCGATGGGTTTTTATGTCAGCACGTACATATCAAATAAGAACCGTTAGTTTTTATAAAAAAAGCCTTTTAGCAAAAAGGGGCAAACAGTATCATAGTGGAGGCCGATTTCATGAAAACAAACCCTTCAATATGGTTTGCGCGCACGCGAATTTACGAATTGAGCATCTTCATTAGACGGAAAAAGTCAAGTTAAAGAAAGCACGATGGACTCAATAATGAACTTACAGGCCCAAACTTGCGACAAACTCTGCGGCGGGTAATTTGAAATTGAGCAATATCTCAATTCATCATATACTCTCATTTTCTGTGGTAACCGAAAAACCGCAGATTTTCTTAGGTTGGCGAAAGCCGAGAAACCAATCCCCTATTCGCAAAAGCGAACTTTCTGATGCACCTCTTGATATTTTTTGCACCTTTAGAAATTATCGTGAAGTAATCAGCAACTTGACAAACTGCATTCTGAAAACATAAAATAGTTCGATATACCTCTAACAATGCAGAAAGCCGTGACTGTTCTGTATATTATTACTTATCGGTCAAGTACCAACGGAAATAGTGTCGAGCTGGTCAGGTGAGATGATCATTGATTATTAGATTTATATTACCTTTCACGAGTCTAGACATACAGAGGACATGCAAAAGAAATCAGAAGTATCAGCGAACTTTACAGTAAGAAGGAACCTTAAATATTTGTAAGCAGACTTAATATGCTTTTACTTTTGTGGTTGGCATGTTAATGGTTTTTTAGTAAAAATCGTTGCCGCTCAGCTCCAGGTCAGTGAAGAGGATAAGGTCATGGAATAAACTCACCTACTTATCCGGTGATAGGATTTGTAGCAAAGAGATTTCCGTAAATTCTCTTTTTCCCTCGCAAGAATCCCATGAAGTATAATTGATCATTATTCAATTTCAGCCTCTCTCCTTGTTGATAATCAAACGAACCCCCAGGCCATTTATGATAGCGTTTCGAGCGTTAGCCCTTAGTCAGAGCGAAGGACGAAGGGCGAACGCTCGAAACGTCAGCCTTTAAACTCTTTACGGTGACCAATTTACGTTTCCAACTCAGTTGATAACATTAAATCACCCTGTGATAATCTCTTAACGACGCAGCACTACGGTTTCTTTAGAAACTTACCTCCTTTATCTATTTATAATGGGTTAGGGCCGCGTCAGCATTACAAGAGATTAAAAGATGTGTTTGTAAAATGAACTCAGAGCTTCACCTGGTGAAGTGAGAAGAATTGAAGTCGTCTGAGGTATAAAACAACCCCGCATCAGTTTCTTTATCCTAGGGTTTCAGTAAGCGTTAAGTGTCCTAAAACTCCCCATCAGCAGTCCTGACTGAAGGCTTAAGCTCAAAGTGAACGACGCATTGTTTTCTTCTTTTCTTTTAGCGTAGTGCTACGGCACTGATCTTCTTTAATATACATCAACTCGCCGGGAATGATTTTGGACATGATACGATTATCAACAACCGGGGTGCAGTTGTCCAAAGAGCTAAATCGCTATCCAGCGGATAAGAGCTAACAAAATGTACCGTGCTATTCACCGTATAGGGAGTTACTCGGCGGATAGCGTTATTTAACCTTCCAACAACCGGCCGGGGCCAGTTACAGATAGCTTCCTTTTTTTCCCTTGGTTATTACTTGTGTCTCTCTGTTTCTCTTTGGTTGACGAGAGCATCTGAGCGTGAGACTTTTGCTCGTTTACAGGCTACTGAAATACTTAAAAGGCATATTTTGTACGCGTAGTTTAGCTGTGTGATTTTCTAGATCAATGAAAAAGTGACCAAAGCTGACCAAACGCCCTTGGGTAACGAGGACTGAGAAGTTGTACTGATTTGGGAAGCTATTTTACTTTTAATGTATTTACTTGGACATTCCATTAGTCATGTTCAGAGTAGAGATTACGGCAGAGTCAGAAACTAAGAAATGTAGTCGTTTGAAGCCTTTGTGAAGACAAACTCATTTCAAAACAAACAAGCTGTTTAGTGTCATATTATTCAAGACAATGTTATACTGATTTCATTTCCTTTGTTTTTCCGCCCTTAATAGTTGTGAAGAATTCTTGTGCCAGTAACTTTCTAAAGTGTGAACATGTCTGCCGTGAGTCAAGCAAGGGTAGAGCGAAATGTGAGTGCCAGTATGGCTATACCTTGCAAAATGACGGCGTGTCTTGTTCAGGTAAATAAAATCAAGCCAGTCATTGCTTTGTCGCATCAGCGGGAATTATCATCACAATTAACTATAGAGTTTTCTTTACCTCTTGTGATTTTGTTTTTCCCCAACTTTCCCAACAACCCAGCTTTGTTGTCAAGGTTCTTTATGGGATAGCAGTCATAAATCTCACACGACGATCACTTCACACCCTAACAAACAATCGAGTACTAAATATTTATTTTCATTTCAGACGGAGCTTCTCGTTCTTCAAGCGGGACTAAAGCACCCTCTCCCGAGCTGGAAGTTGAAACCGGATGTGGGAATGGGCTTAAGTGTGATCATAGGTGTGTTGAATTTGGCGGTGTCCCTCAGTGCGCATGTCATAATGGTTACCAGCTGCATATGAATGGTTTTACCTGTGATGGTAAGTGGAATTGTACAGTAGTCAACGTTACTTGCCGAAAGTTAGCAACCTTCCACTAGAAGTGATTTACATGTAACTTCTCCCTACAATATCCATACACTATCCAACAAACAGGTAGTGAGATAACTCACACTTATCAGTTAGAGGTTGTTATCACGATATAACACTAAATTCTTGTAACTAAATTACAAAGAAATGTGTTACAGCTAAATGGGAGAATTAACAATCAGATCTTGGGAGTTAAAGGGTTAAAGCCTTTCAATCAGAGAATGATTCCAATGTATGTGACCACATTAGTCTGTTAACAGTGCTCCATCATTCTTGTTGGGTTTCAGATATTGACGAATGCCGGCATTCGCCATGTTCACAGCTGTGCAAAAATACCCCAGGCTCATTTTCCTGTTCGTGCCAGGCGGGTTTCAAGATTCAGTCAGATAAGGTTACCTGTGAAGGTAAATCAAGGAGTTCCCTCATCCTGTTTATCTTTACTATTGGAAAACAATGCAGAGACAAAATTCATGTTTATAAGGTAGCATAGTCGGCGTTTTATGGCCGTAGATGTAAATGATCTACTGAGTTGTCCATATCTGTTAACTTGTTCTCTCATCACTTTTAATAAAATTTTTTGCCAGAAGAAACATATAATTAAAATCGATATAGTCTAAGTGTTCAAGTTTTCCATTCTTTACATTTAGGACGAGAGATGACTTTTGATTAGAGGTGCATTCTCGCTTAGCGGATAAATGGGTTACGTCATAGTCAGATACTCAAGCGAGCCGAGAACACAGAATGTTACTTAGCAGGCAAAGAACGAATGAAACTGGACATGAACGTAACTGTTGCGTGTGTTTATTTGCAGAAGAGAAGACTAAGTGTTCAATGAATGATATCGCTTGTATTCAGAGATGTACCGAGTTTGGAAACTGCTCCTGTCCACCAGGTACCGCCATGGGTCCAGATGGCCAAACATGTGTCGGTAAGTCAGGGACGCTGAGTGCACAATGGTTTGCAAGATTTAGCAGCCAAACATCTCTCAGATACTCATGCTAAGTTATAAGCGACAAGCTCGTGACTTTTGTTGCATGTAAAACGTACAATCTATGATTATCAATTGTATGTAGCTATTTTCACTGATAGTTCATAGTCTTACTTTGTTGACCGAACAAGTCAACACACTCACAATGTAACTCACTAAAATAATTTCCGGTGATTTGGCGCATTTGTAGACATTTGTTGATGTTTCTACCAATTACCAGACAAGATATAGAGTGAACATCATTCAAATACTTTGCGTCGTACTCATGAGCTTTAGCGTCATATGGGCCAATTTGCAATTGATTTATTAGTAAAGTATGAAGAACTCTTTATCTATAAGAGAACCATCTTTCTTGATACACTATCTCTTGTTCTCAGATGCAGAGAACGTTTTATGATAACAAACACGTCTTATCTCATACTTCACATCGCCGAGAGCTTCCAAAACAATGTGTGAATCACCTTGAATCGTTTACTTAACCAATATCTGAAACCTGGACCACTGAAAAAAAGACATAGTCTTCACGGATTTGTGAAAACTCGCCGTGTCTAAATCAAGAACCCATTTTCAGTCTAGCTGCCATATCGAGCTTTTTTCACTTAAATGGTCATGCAAATTTTTTTCCACTTTCACTGAGCAGATCATTTCCTTGTTGATTGTTGTGTATCTTTCTCCTTCAGAGGTAAATGAATGCAGCTTATTCAAAGGTGTTTGTCATCAGAACTGTATCAACACGCCCAGAGGGTACCGCTGCACATGTTCCAAGGGATATGAATTGAATGTGAATGGAATTTCCTGTTCAGGTGAAAAAAGTTAGACAATTTAGTGTCTGGGAACATTTAAGAAACGTCACGATTGACGGCTGTGTTAAGATTTCTGCAATTTAGTGGTTTTAATTCCTCCGTGGATGCAATGGATTCTCAGCCTAGACTAAGACTGCAAGAAATTTGTGATAGAAGAATGAGGGTAAACATTACTCTTGGAAGTTTTATTGAGTATTCCATATTAATTCGTTGGTTTTTTTAGATATCGACGAATGCGCACGAGGTATCCATGGCTGCCACCACAACTGTCGTAATGTTCCTGGATCTTACTTCTGCTCATGTAGCAAAGGATTCCAGCTCAGTGATGACCTGAAGTCATGTGTTGGTATGTGTCGTTCGAATACCTTTGAATGCTTTTCTATTTTGAGAGACCTTTTTGAATCACATAATAAGCTGTCATCGTGTCTAAAAAGTGCTTTTGCTTTCGTTTCCTCTAAGTTGAAGAACATGTTCACATTTAGATAAACAACTTGGGCGTCTACCCTTTAATTCATAATTTTCTGTTCAGATTCTGAATGAATAAACGAATTTGTTTTTCTTAAAACTTCTCTGGTTTTAGATATAAACGAGTGTGCATTGTACCCTGGGATATGCCCCCTTCCTTCGCGATGCCGCAATACCATTGGAAGCCACACTTGTGATTGTCCCAAGGGATTTGTTAATCACAGACACAAGATTTGTATCGGTAAGTAGATTGCAGTCGTTAAATGAGGTTTGATCAAAGTTAGGTTTCGTTTGAAATTGATGTCACCGACAAACTTATTTCAGACGAGAACGAATGCGCAAACTCCAATGGCGGCTGTGACCAGGTGTGTCAGAACTACCCAGGAAGTTACCGATGCTCCTGCAAGTATGGGTTTATGTTACAGTCTGACAGGAAATCATGCAAAGGTACGCAGATCAGATGATAGCTTTTTATGTTCTAAATACAGTGAAACAGAAGTAAACCGGCAGATGTAAGTCTAACTAGAGATCACTCGAGTGTTGCTGGTAACAAGATGCTTTTTTTTTTTATTACTCTATATCGACTCAGTAGGTGGATGTTTTGCGAAAAATATTGAAAATCGAGAATTGTTCTAGAGAGGGTGCATGTTTAGGGGAAACCAAACAACAAAGAATTTTTCACCGAGAATGCTGACCTGCTTTTGAAGATATTGACTCAAATTAATTAGAATTTTTTCTTTTTGCTTATAGATATCGACGAATGTTCCAGATATTCGTTCCTTTGTCAGCATAAATGTGTTAACACGCCGGGAAGCTACAAATGTACCTGTCCACCTGGTCTGCGGCAACCTATAAACGGCTTTATGTGTATGTAGAAATAACAGTGTTTCCTTTGTACTGTGAGTGAGATTCTCTGACAGCCTCACCACTCACGCACTTGGGCAAAGGTTATATTTCCTCATTAAAACACTGTTAAAGAACCCAAAGATTCTGTTGGAGTAAAAACATCCAATTTTCAAGATAATGCTTTCGTCTTCAGAAGAATAGAACAGTAATTGAGTCAGAATTGTTTCAATGTAAATTCAAGCTTAGTGCAGTAGGTAAGACCATAAAAGAGGATCAAAATATTTATTTCAACCTATCGAGGACTGCTGCTTGACAAAACGGCGAGAGGCTGTATCATGTCAACCTTTGAGAGTGGATTTGACTTCGGTGGACAAACGATGGTTACCAAGGTCCCGTGTTCAATTCATCAAACCTTGTCGGAAGTCAAGGATATTTTGACAACCTTTTTTGATAGAGGGTACATGAGGAATGTAAATATGGAAAGTGTTTTGTCGTATTTAATTTACCTTGATAGGGTGGCGAGTTTTAAGAATTGTCTCTGTTTTAAATCTAACATGCATATTTGAGTAAATTTCAACTAAGTGTTCAATCCCGGATTGTTGTATGATTGGCCTAAAAAACTCGCGCCACTCTTTCAACCAATCAAATTAAAAACTAAACCAACCGCGACTTTCCCGAGCTTCAGACTTTTTATTATTATTTTTTTAACCTTTGAGATTCTAGTAATACTTACCTTTTTCCTGAATGGCTGTTGCGCCTACTTTGCTTTTGGTTTTATGACACTCAATCGAAAATTTTACTTATGTCACAGATAGTGCGAAAAATCCAAGCTCATTTCCTAGCATCTTTGGCAATTTTCATGTAGCACCATTACAGCCAAGATTAGTGACGAGCTTAGAGGAACAGTTATTCGTCAGTAATTAACACAAGTTTTGGACAAATAACCTGTCCAAATTACCATCCAACTTGTTTTAAAACGTCACGACAGGCCAGAGGACGCAACAAAGACATAAGATAGTTGTGTAACTTCAGTACATGAGTAAAACTTTTTTGTTTCCTTTGGGTAAGAAGCAAATTTTGTTTAATATCTATACCTTTGTGACTTAAAATAACAAATTTGGTTTTTCTTGAAAGGAACCAAATTAGCCTTTGACCAAAGGAACTGAGATACTTCATTGTATACTCCATACTTAGATTTAACGAAAGATCAGATGTTATTTGTAAGAATGGCAAAACAATTGGCCCCATAAGATAATTTTACCCTCGATTACAACTTTGAGAGAGGGAAATAATCACAAACACCCTTGCCAATTACGGAACATCCAAATGTTCTTGTAACGTCCCTGCAAGTCTCGCGGGAAGGAGGAATAGCACTTATCTGACAGTTTAAATTGTACATAAATTTAAATATGAATAAATGATGCTTGCAATTTATAGGATTTCACGTTGAGCGTAGCGAGATATTAAATGTTCAATTGCAATTTGTTTAACAATCATTTTTTTTGAATGTGCTTTACTGATCCACTAAAACATCGCTCATCCACACTACTTTAGTCTAATAAAATCAGTAAAAAAGATGCGCAACTTTACAGAAATCCCGATATTTTGTTGTCAAAGAGGCGTTTTCAAGCCCTTGCCGTTGTTGTGTGGAGTCGCTTGTGGTCTCCTCAGTTCCTTCACACTTCACTTTCTATATCTGTATCCTCACTATTGTCCCATCTTTCTACAGCAATCAGTCAGTCGAACTTAGTCTTCTTGGAGACAGGTTCTTTCATGTCCTCTGCACTGCTGCCCTGTCAAAGAAACACATACACGACTTAAGAAATGAGGAGGAGAAAAATTATTTTGTCGTTCAAAGACTAGAGCGAGGAAAGAGAGTGTTTAAGTCGTTATAATGGATGAATCGTGATTGGGAGAAGATGAGAAAACATTTGAGTAGTTTTCAGTCGATGAAAACTTCTCATATCATGTTCTGAGCTTTTTTCGCGTCCCGGCATATAAATTGTGAAATTTGTTTGTTTGCTCTTTTCTTTCAAAGTCTTTAGAATTACCTTTTTAGAGACGAGGCTGAAAGATAAAAATTTATTTTCTGTTGAGGACTTGTCAACATTAATCTTGACAGCCACTCGGTCAAAGCTTCGGTAGGTGACGTCACCATCTGTAAGGGATGGCTCCTTGATTAACAAAAAAAGAAAATAAATGGTATTTCTTGACATCATTCTTGATATTATGTATTACAGTTGCCAAGGTAAACTAAGCGTCGGAGAATGGATCATGTGATTTCATCAGGGAATGTCAAGAACACTTACATTCGCTGCGTTTTCTGACACCAAGATTTAACCCGAAAAGATTCACACCACATGTCCCCTACAAACCTCCGATGATAAGCGTCATTATTCCTTCGATTTTCTCAAACACCAACGCTCACTCATGAACCTCTTCTCTGCCAAATCGAAGCTGACTATGTATTGAAAAAAAGTTTGAGAGAAAAACACCTGTTCGTTGTAGGTAAATCCTGATACATCTTGTTTGTTCATGAACACGGTTCCTTCAAGGCCATACTTGGGGATCAGAATTTGAAGCGCATTCTTACGAACAAACAGCACAAACGCTTCTTCTTCTTCTATAGCCTTTCCTTGGAAAAACAGCTGAGAAAAGAACATTCCATGAAATAAGCCAAACAGTCTGAGTGCAAAAAAAACAACAAACAAACACTACAAACTCTTTGTGAAGTCTTAAAAACTATGACAAAAGAATGATATTAAAAACCACACTACCTGGCAATGCAGGTCAATGGAGTCCCGTGAAGCATACTGGGCCATTTTGTGACGGAAGTTCAGATGATTGCACAATTTCTGAAAGTAAAGAGAAAAGTAAGACGTTAATGACAGTAACGACAGAGATATATTCGTTATAAGATAACTCACTAATTTTGACAGCGAGAGAATGGAGCCTAGTGGTAAGCTACGAACTGGTTATACCTCAGGTCATACCCACCTGTGTTTTGTCTTTGCTGAGGAGGTCTGGATACGAATCTAAAGCTCCAATTGCAACAGCTAGGAGTCTATGTACCAAGATGTCAGAATATCTACAGGTAGGAAAAATTTTAGGTTAATGAAATGTACAGTAATCAAATGGTAAATAAGTAGTAAATTAATGGTACATTGGAGCAGTACATACCTCCTGATTGGTGACGTGAAATGTGTATAAATTGGAGTTGCCAAACCGTAATGTTGAAATTCCTCTTCAGGGAGCATGCCTGAACAGAAGTAAACCGCTTGCATCATGCATCGCGTCGCCATAATTCGAAGCAGAGTGTTAAAATAGGGCTCATCTGGGATATTAGCAGCATTCAACGAAACAGCGAGAGACTTGGCACTATCCACTTCAAGTTGGACTCCCTATTTAGATACGCAAGTGACGTGTGAGAACAGTGTTGCACAGCAGAGGGGATTGAAGGGGGGGGGGGGTAAAATTAACAAATAAATTTCATATTACCGTGTGACCCTCCACTGATCGCGAACAATCGAGGTTCGTTTTAATGTCACGATTTCCCTATCACTTTACAACATGGGTTAGAATCTTCTATTATTCGGCCGATTCTGACCCGGAATCCAGTTAAGCCTGCGCCACCACGTCTCACCCATGATTTTTTCATTTCGTCATTACTGGCAATGTTTTGTTTTGTTTTTCTTCTTCTATCATTGCAGGTTTTGACGTAATAAATACAACATTACGTTCAACAATGGCGTTGTAACAAAATTAAAGGTAAGAGGCGGGTAATCAAAATTGGTTTTGATTTCGGAATAACAAGTAACATTCCCCGTGCATGACATCAATTCCAAACAATAATATGGAAATCCCCCTCCCCCCAGGTAAAATGGCTCACCTTGGAGCTCGCAGCCTTCACCAACACATCATAGTTTGCAGCAGGTGGCGAAGGATGTCTCCGTAAAACGGCAAACTCTGGGAAATTTTGAAAAATTTTCTTGGCGACTGAAATGTTGGCTAACAACATAAATTCTTCCACGAGGGAATTCGTCTCCCTGAAAGAACATTAACAAAAGTTAGAGTGGATAATCCTTAAATCGATCACTCAAGGAATCAAAATTAACAGCAACAGCTTGACAATGATAAATAGCTAGCTTACTTGAGTTCCTTTGTTTGAAGATCTACTGGGTCATGTGTCTCACTGTCTATGTGAAAACGAACTTCTGGAGACGCAAGAGTTAAAGCACTGAAATAAAAAGTAAGTCAGTGAATGAGTTAAGAAGATAAAAAAAGGAACTGATAAAACGTAATTGTGCAAAGTGTCTGGGTAAGAGAAGAATTCACGTCTTTTCTGGTCTGTATTGGAGTTCAGATCAAGGTTTGCGGGAACTACTGTTCCCTCAAATACAAGTTTTCTTACCCCTGTTCGACTCTCTTTTGTTTTAGAATCTTTGCCAGTTTGTTGAGATGTCTTAGGCTCAGAGTTATTTCATCTGTTTGGGTCGGATCATCAATTCGCATCTGAGCCTCGGCATACGTGAAGGAAGTCTGAAAGTTTAAAGACAGGATAAATAGTCTTAATTGCAGATAGCCTCAAGTTTACGACGCTGTTTGCTATCAAAACCTACATGTACTCACTCTAGAACAGATAATGCTTTTTTTGAACTTCGTGGAGACAATTTCAGCTTGTGGTGTCATTTCCCATATAGATGAAAACGCCAGCCTAAAGTGAGGAATATGCCAAGCCAGTTACATTGCATTAGATATGTACCGTGCAAAAAAATGTGTATATAAGCCTTACTAACCTGTCCACATTAGATCTCAGTGAACACAAGTCTGAACTCAGGAGTGCTGGTACCATGTCAATACGCTGTGTGATAAACATTAAAACAAGTCAATACCAACAATTACGCAAGATTTCAACTCCCAGATAGTAACTTTAGGGATGGAATTTATAGTCTCAATTCAAAGATTATCCCGCAAAAGTTTCTTAAGACTTCTATAAGACCCATTTGCACCAATGGTCAGAAGGAGAGAGCTCCTCCGAGAGTAAGGTAGACAGTTTAAAAAAATATCTATATGAATACATAAGGCAGAAACGAGCTCCATGCTAAACACGCCCACTGGACTGACTTGCGCGTTCCGTCCCTTTATTGTGCTCCAAAGCTGAAATTTGGAATGAAACAAATAGCGTCTTGAAAATTCCTTTTGCCGCCTAAGAGTGGTGTCTTATTAGTGTCACGAAATCTTTTTAAGTGCCTGCATCACATAAATTATGCAGCTGTAAATCACCTTATCTGTGAGATAGACTGTAGTTCCTCTATTAGCTGCCTCAGCATCCAGAGCTGTACCTGGTCTGATAAA